TGTTCCACTGCCTGGCTATTGGTCTGTGTACATGAATACATGAGTAAAACGAAGAGTTTTGGAATTCCCATTCTTTGTCTTGTTATCCATTGTATTATGATACATACTGTTGAATGCCTTTGCATAGTCAATAAAACAGAAGTAAACGTATTTCTGGTATTTTTGTGTTCAGTCAGGATCCATCTGACATCAGCAATGACAGTCCTCATTTCGTGTCCTTTTCTAAATCCAGCTTGAATTTTTGGCAGCTCTCTGTTGATATTCTACTACAGCCATTGTTTAACGGCCTTCAGCACAATTTTACTTGCATATCAAAGTAATGAGATTGTTCAACAATTCTTGACTTCTGTTATTTTACCTCTTCTGGGAAAGAGGAGAAATACCAAGCTCCTTTAGAAGATTGGTCAGGTAGCTGTTTTCCAGATTTGTGGGCATAGATGAGTCAGTGTGGTATCAGTTTGTTATACTTTCAATTGGCATTCTGTTAGTTGTACATTCAATTGGCATTCTGTTAATTCCCGGAGTCTTGTTTAGTGTTAACGCTTTCTGTGCAACTTGGACCTTCCTCCTTCAATGCCATTGGCTCTTGATCATATTCTGTTTTGAAGTGGTTGAGTATCAGCACATTCTTCTTGATATAGTGTGTGGTAGTTAGAGATTATGGTCACTGGACACCCCTGGCTAGGGGTGGAGTTAAACATGTCAATCAAGTCACAGTCTGATGATACCTCCTTGATGTTGAAAGACTTATGTATAGGGAAAATGCAAACAGAGACGATCTCTTTCTCTACCCCTTCACCTTCCTCCTCACCGGGACTGCACTGGAACTCTGCCTGCCTCAAGGGGTGGCCCCATGCGAACTACCTGATGCTAAGAGATTTCAGGATCCACCACGTTTACACAAACCTGGGACCCATGTGACTCTGCACCCACTGGCCTATGATCTTTCTGCGTCCTGGTTCCCCTTACTACATCATTGGCATGTGGCTGTTTGAGTAGGAAGAGAGGCTTAGACTAGCATTGGACTAATGGACTTGAGTTGGATTCACTGGGATGACTTCTTGATATATAAATACTTCTTTATGTAAAGCTCTTTCTTATACATGTATGAGTGTCACTAGATTTTTTTGATGCTTCCTGTATCATCCAAAATTTTGCCCATAGAATCCTACCATTTTTTAACTCAATAATTGAATTTTTTCTTCAGTTCCCTTTTTGTTTATTTGTTTTGTTTTTTTTTCTTCAGTTCTTTTAGAGATATACTGAGCATGTTTTTCCTTTCTGGTTTTCTAACTTCAGTTATTTGCTCTTTAAAATACTTTATGTTCTCAAGTTGCCATTTGAAATGTTCTATTCAGCGTTTTCCCTTCATTTGCTTCTTTCATTAGCGTTAGCTTCTCTACATCCCAGAGCAAATTTCAGAGTCTCCACTTTGACCTTTTCCTTCTTTCCTATCATTTTAATCACTTAAAATGTTTTTAATTAATCATTTTATTGGGAGCATTTACAGATATCATAACATTCCATAGTTTAATCACAACAAGCAGTATTATACAATTGCTACCACAATCAGTTTCAAAACATTTTCTTTCTTCTTGAACTCCTTGACATCAGCTTCCCTTTATCCCCTCCTCCACCCTGCCCCCAAGGAACCCTTATTTATTTATTTTTGCCATATCTTACACCATCCAATATATCCATTCACATACAATTCTGCCGTTTGATCCCATTGAGTAAGGTTATACAGTCATCAATGCTATCAGCTTCCTATTCCACCCTGCCCCCCTTCCTCCTCTCTCTTCCCATAGCCCCGGGAACCATTACTCCTGTTACTATTTCTGAAGGATCATCTATCTTGGCTTTCATATATCAAACACTCTTAAATATACAAATGGACATATGCAAATCTAACATAATTTTAATCACTTTTTGTCTTCTTCATGCCAGGTCTTCAGTTCTCAGTGATCAGTATGTTAAATTTGTTCATGACATGTTCTCAAATTCAGGTGGGAAATACTTAGGTTGTTTTTGACTCTTGTGGACTTATTTTCATTTTCTTCAGCCCTAACCTGAACTTGTATATGAGCAATCGATGGTCTGTTCCATAGTCAGTCCTTGGCCTTGTTTTGGCTAATGATAAAGAGCTTCCGCAGCATCCCTTCACAGATGCAGTCAATTTGAGTCCTGTGGATTCCATCTGGCATGTTCACGTGTATAGTCACCATTTATGTTGTTGAATGGTTTTTTAACTCCACAAAAAGGCTTCATTTGCAATGAAAAAATATTGGTCTTGCAAAATTCTATCCACCATGTGATCTACAGCTTCATTTCTAACACCAAAGCCATGTTTTCAACTACTGATCCATCCTCTTTGTTTCCAACTTTTACATTCCACTCACCAATATCATCAATGTATCTTGATTATTTGTTTGATCAATTTCAGCCTGAAACATTGGTAGAATTCTTCAGTTTTTCAAAGCTGGCTTTAGTGGTGTGTGCATGAATTTGAATAATAGCCGCATTAACTAGACTTCCTCGTAGGCATATGGATATTATCCTATCACCCACATATTGAACTTCAAGATAGATCTTGACATGTTCTTTTAGGTGATGAATGGGATGCCACTCTTCTTGAATTTGTCACTCCTTGCAGAGTCAACCATATGATTGTCTGATTCAAAATAGTAAATACTAGTCAGTCCATTTTAGCTTCATAGCGTAGAGAATATTGATCTTTGTGTGTTCCATTTTATTTTTATTACTTAAACGTTTTCTCGATTTGTACTTTGCATATTCCACATTCTGATTATTAATGATTGTTTGGCGCTGTTTCTTCCTACTGTGAGCCATGCCCCATCAGCAAAGTAAGGTCCCCAAAGCTTTGTTTTATCCATGTCATTCAGGTCAACTCTACTTTGAGGGGACAGCTCTTCTTTAGTCATATTTTGAATGTTTTCCAACCCAAGGGGCTCCTCTTCCAGCGCTGTTTGTACAGCCTATTCCTTCTTCCTAATCTGTCCTCACCTGCACACTCTGATGCAATGTGTTCCCATGGGTAAAACTGCAGGTACTGAAATTATTGGTGGCATAGCTTCCAGCATCACAGCAAAACAAAAGCCACCACAGTCCGACAACCTGGCAGATTAGGTAGAGATTCCTATGTAACATTCCCATTACAGGTAGCTTAGAGAAATTAGGTCACTTGCTCAAGGTTACACGATAGATCATGCTAGAGAGAAAAATTTAGAACCCAGGTCTGTTGGACTCGAACGCTTATCCCCTACTCCTTACTGTCTCCCATTCCTGGGTCACACCAGGAATCTCAGGGTACAGCTTAGCAGTACTTCTATTAATAGAAAACGTGCACTTCAACTAAACATTCATTTATCAGAAACGTCACTGGGAGTATTTGGATGCGCAGGAGCTAGATTGTCAGCAAGCAGGTACCATTGGAGATTCTGTTACCATAAGTAGTATCTCAAACAACGCCTTTGCTCTGCTGCACACAAGGTCATTCTGACTTGGAACTGACTTGATGGCACCTAACAACAACAGCGTAGTGAAAATGGTGCGTAGTGAAAATGGTGAGCATGCTCACTGCTGACCACAAAAGTTGGAGGCTTGTGTCCACACAGAGACATCTCAAAGAAATGGGCTGGTGAGCTACTTCCAAGAAATTAGCCATTGGAAGCACGATGAATCACAGCCCTGTTCGACACCTACGAGGTTTCCACGAGTTGGAATCAACTCCCTAACAACTTGTTTTTAAAAGCGTGTCAAGTGGAGTTAAAAGCTATACAAAATAGCTATCCATTCTAAAGTGAGAAAATGGAAGAACGAGTGAAATGTGAGAAAAGGAAAAGTGCAGGAACTGGTAAACACCCCACCCAGTCCAGGTCTAAGGAAACAGAGCCAAACCTACTACTGTCGAGTTGACTCTTACTCTTAGCAACTATTCGAGACACCGTAGAACTTCCCCACCGGGGTTCCCAGGCTGTAAGTCTTTAAGGAAGCAACTGCCAGGTCATTCTCCCACAGAGTGGCTTAAACCACTGCCTTTTGGGTTAACAGCTGGGCACTTTGCCACAGCATCATCAGGGCTTCTACACAGCAAACAGAGACAGGTTGTTGATGGGACAATGTGTTCCCTAATGACAGTTAATTACAACAAAGAGTTATTGAGTACTTGTTCTTCGCCAACTGCTTTATGATAGTTCTAGGCATTGGAAATTAAATAAATGAAATATATGAAAGCCCTTGCCTCGTGGGACCTACATCTTAATGAAGGCAAGATAGATAATAAATCTTACATGATGAATGTTAGTAACAAGCTGTATTGAGGAAAATAAAGTAGGGGAGAGGAAGCGCATGACCTAGAATTCTTGAATAAGAATCACCTAAAGTGTTTTATTCCAAAACAGGGTATAAAATGAGTTTGTGTAGGAACAGTAAAAATGTTACTAGTGACTTAATCATCAGTATAAGGAGCCTATTTATTGACAAATATAGACATTAGAGTTTTCCTAATGTGGTAGGTGGGGGTAGAAAGGGAAAGGGGAAGAATCAGGAGGCTGAGCATTGAGTCAAGGTTGGTGATGAAGGGGACGTTTCCAAAGAAAGACTGCAGCCACTACGGACAAGTGTGACCGCTCTAACCGTTCCTTATACATATGGCGCATTCAAGAAGGCCAGAACAAGCCAAAGCCGCACAGAGCACCTCTAAGTGTAAGACTTTGTGTGCATGACTTATAGGGTCTCTGGTTGCTGATACAGGTTTTGTTCCAAAATAATTTTATTTCAAGGGGCTCAGTCGTCACCAACATTGGCCTTCAAGACCAACTGATTCATTCTGTTCCCCTGCCCATGGCCTCACTGAAAAAGTATCCATTCCATTGCCATTTCAACCCAAGAGAAGCGGATTCCCTTGAAGAAGTAAGGGCTGTTTATTCTCCCACTGGATGGGGTCAGGTATCTAAGGAAGAAGTTAAATGTCTACTTACATTTTTCATGAATAGCAGGAATCCTCAGCATGGTCTCTTGAGACTTCCCAATCGAATTGTAAGCTCTTGCAAACACACAATAGGTGTTGTTTCCCAGAAACACTTCAAGGTCCTGGTTAGTTGTGTTTGTTGTCGTTGTGAGGTTTGGCCTGTTTTCTGGAAAGTACCTTATGTTGTATCCAAGTGTTTTCCCCACGACTGGGCCTCTTTTTGCCTCCAAAGGAAACACAGTTTATTGCCAACAATAAAAGAAAAAGAGAAAATATTGAGAGAGCTAAATGGTGGTGGTGCTGGTGCTGGTGCTGATGGTGGCGGTTATAGGTGGAGGTGATTAATACTAACTACCAAGAGTTAAACAACAATCAGGAAATAGCCTCTGGGGTGGAAAATGCACCTTTTAATACCCCAATTAAATGTATCAGGTAAATAGAAGGGATTTATTAAATTATACATTGGTATCAACCTTTAACAAAAACCATATGGGGCCAAACTAGAGAATGATCCATGGTAAACTAAGCAAGTAAGCCCCATTTCTTTTGAGATGTGTCTCTTCTCGCCCGGCTCTTTTCCTCCGCTATCAGTATTTGAGGGGGCCCTGGTGGTGCAGTGGTTATGAGTTGGGCTGCTAACCACAAGGTCAGCAGTTCAAGTTCACCAGGTGCTCCACAAGAGGAAGATGAGGCTTTCTACTCCTATAAAGAATTACGGTCTCAGAAACTGACCGGGGCAGCTCTACCCTGTCCTATTTGGTCTGCCTGAGTCTGAATGAACTTGATGACAGTGAGTTTGAGCTTGACCAATACTTGCCCTCTCATCACTCATTTATTACGCCTTCCGCTTCCTGTTCCCTGTAACCTTTCTGATCTTCTTTCATCTCCTTTTCCTCCCTTGCTCTCCTTTGAGAACAAGGACCCACCTACCTTATCCTTTGTTCTCCGTTCCCAGGCAATCACCTTGGAAAGGAATATTGGGGTCTTCTTCTACCTTTGCAACCTGTATTGCTGTGCTTTAACTCAGCGGACATTACATTGCAGACACACCAGCTGGCCCCTAGTCCTAGCTCTCCTCAGACTTGGGGTTGCACGCTATGGAGTTTTACATTGCCTCTTAGTGGATGCTAGCCAGATTTTCACAGGAAGTAAAGGTGCATCCTTCACTCTCTGTTAATGTTCCAGACCAAAGTAGAAGTAGGCCGAGTTCTGTGATGCAAGGCTGGGGCTTCTGCAAGATGACTCGTGTGGCTATTTTAGGCTGGGTAATCTTTCAAAGGTTTGGGGCATTGTTACAGACAAAAAGAAAAGAAATTCAAGTAGTGAACACTCAAGTTCTTGGAAGTGTAAGAAATGAAAGGTTTTTCAAAGCATATGACTGAATGAATAAAACCAAGAGAGAGGTCACCTTCCACAACAACTGCACTGGTCTTCCTCCATTTGCTTCCGGGGGTCCCAGGACTCTCCACAGATCCAGGCCAAGGGGAACTGTGAGAAACAAGAATGACATGCTCAGCTTAGACAGAAGGGGGCTACAGTGGGAGATGGGGAAAGTTAGCTTGGCTGCCTTTAGAAAATGCAGATGGGAAGCAACTTAGTAGGGATAATATGGAAAATGAAAACCAAATTCACTGCCATCCGAAAATGTCAACTCAGAGCGACTCCCCTGTAGGTTTCTGAGACTGTAACTGTTTACGGGAGTACTAAGTCCTACATTTTTCCCAAGGAGCAGCTGGTGGTTTTGAACTGCCAACCTTATAGATTGGATCGTAATCCAATGCCTAACCATTACATCACTAGGGCTCCTCTAGCAATGTAGAAAGTGGGGGGATAATCAAAGGACTGGGATCAACTAAACTAATTGTCCACAAGTTGATTCTGACCCATAGCGACCCTATGAGAAAGGGTAGAATGCCCCTGTATGTTTCAAGACAGTAACTCTATTATTATTATTATTATTGAGAGTTAATACATATGTCTTCCATAGTTCAATCACATCAAGCAGAATTGTACAATTGCTACCATAGTGAGTTTCCAAACATTCTTTTTCTTCCTGGACTCCTTGGCATTATCTCTCTTTTACACACACACACATACACACACCAATGTACTGCCGCACCCCGCCCCACCCCCACCCTCAAAGCCCTTATTCTACTTGCTGTCCATATAGGTTCTTTAATCCTTGGTATCATATACCAAAACACCAAAAAACATATACTACAACTTCAAGAGGGTGACCTCCAATGACATAACACCTCTGAGATCCACCTTGATATGAACAAACAAAAATACAGAAAATGTTCAAAGCCAAATCAAGTACAGCATGTATCACTCTTTACAAGAGTAAAAAAACACCCGCCTTTATCCTGAGGATTGGCTGGTGGTTTCAAACTGTTGACCTTGCAGCTAGCAGCCTAACTTGTAACCATGACACCTCCAGGGCTCCCTGGAATCAACCAAAGGTAAATAGATTTTTTTTTCCTAGTGTGCTGATATGCTATAAAAAGGAATATAGTAGCCCTTATTATAATATAATTTATCATACCAATCTAAATTTAAGTAGGACCTTTCATGTCCTCTCAGATAGATAGATAGATAGATAGATAGATAGATAGATAGATAGATAGATAGATAGATATGGAGATGAAGATGGAGATAGAGATAGAGATAGAGGTAGAGGTAGTGGATTGTGTCCCCTGTGGTCACGATCACACAGGAGAATGGGTTTTCTTTGTTATGCTAAGGGACCGGATCAGTACAGGGAGTACAAAAAGAGCATATTAGGCACAGAAAGAAGCAAGCAGAGCTGAAGGAAGAGCAATGACTCCACACGAGGCTCCCTGAGGAGCAGAGCAGCAGAAGTTAACAAGAGAAAAGGACGTTCCCCAAGAACAGACAGAGCCTCCCTAGAACTGGATCCCGATTTCACACTTCTAGCTCGGAAACTGTGAAAAACAAACCTTTGTTCTGTAAAGCCATACACCTACGGTATTTCGGTTACAGCAGCTTGAAATAACTATGATACTTAAAACACACCCAAATATATGAGGGGACTTTTTAAAAACTTTGTGAAAAATGAATGAAAATAATGGAAATTTCCCACCAACTTCGTAAAGCCCCCTCGAATGTTGTTGTCAGGTGGCTTCCAGTCAAGTGTGACCCATCGGGACGCTCTGGACGACAGAGTGAACTACCACCACGTCCCGTGCCAGCCTCCTCATGGTGCAGGCACAGTGCCGTGCCAGCCTCCTCGTGGTGCAGGCACAGCGCCGATCGTTTTGTTGCGAGCCTTCCTCTTTCTCAATGACCCTCTGCTTCAGCAGGCATGGTCGTCTGCTCCAGGGGCTGGGTGCTCTGGATAACAGGTCCAAAGTGCAAGACACAAAGTCTTGTACTTCTTTCAAGGCAATGTGTTCGTTCTCCTGGTCATCCACAGGAGAGGTGATATTCTTCATCAAGAATCTAACCCAAAGGCATCCATTTTCCTGTTGTCTCCTGGTCCGGCGTTCATATGCATAGGGGGCCACAGAGGCTCCTAAGTCTTCAAAGGGAAATCTGTGCTTTCTAACTTTCTTTTTCTTTTTTAAAAAATCATCTGATTGGGGGCTCATACAGCTCTTATCACAAAGCATACGCACATAGATTGTGTCCAGCGCATTTGTACATTTGGTGCCATCATCATTTTCTTTCTACTTGAGCTTTTGAACATTTTAAAGAGATCTTTTCCCACAGATTGTCCCCATGCAATACATTATTTGCCTTTTTTGACTGCTACATCTATGCGCATTGATTGTGGACCCAAGTGAAATGAAATCCTTGACAAGGCCAATCTTTTGTCTGTTTATCAGCGTTTTGCTTATTGGTCCAGTTGTGAGCTGTTCTGTTTCCTTTATGTCAAGGTGTTATCCAGAGAAGGCGATAGTCTACGATGTCCATCAGTAAGGGCTTCGAGGCTTTGCTGTCATCGAGCAAGGTTGTTAAGGACGCTCCCCCACTTCCTGCTGCCTTCCTCTTCTTCACACTGCAAGGCATAGCCTAGAACCTCGGGAGGAGAAGGAAACTAAGTAGCCCCCCAATTCCTGGCCTTTTGAATGAATGCCGGTTTTGTAACCATGCCCCCAGAAGTGATCAGACTAAACACAAACATCTCCAACGAGAGGTTCAGGCAAGTCCCTGGAAATTCTGAAGGCAATAGACCATGCTAGACATCTTACTCACCTCGGTCCATACACCACAGATCTGTTGATTGTGCACTGGTCTCCTGGAACACTCAACCAAGATCCAGAGAAATACCCTATTGCCACATGGACCAGGCATCCCGGCAGATGACCCCTAATATTACCTGAGGAGAACTTGACTAGGTGAATGAATAAGAAGGGCCTGAATCTTAATGAATTCAAGGCCTAAATTCCATTTCTCTTACACACAATGTTAAAGCTGGAGAGGAAGGTTAGAAGGGTCAGCATTTTACTACCTTATTTCACATCTCAGAGGTTGTCCTTCATTCATTGTGTTGGGCTGAATGATGGCCCCAAAGACATCCGGGTCCTCATTTCTACAACCTGTGAAGGTCACCTTCACATGACGAAAGGAACTTTGACGATGGGCTAAGTGAAGGGTCTTGAGATGGAAAGCATACCTAGAGTTATCTGGGTGGATTCTAAATGTAATCATACGTCCTTAAAAGGGCAAGGCCAGGGGGGCTTTGACCCAGAAGAGAGCAGGGTGACGTGATAATGGAGGGAAGGTGGGAGTAATGTGCTTTGAGGGTGGAGGGAAACCAAGACTCACCGCTTTAGAGTCGATTTTGGCACGTAGGGACTCTCCGGGATAAGGCAGAACGGCCCCTGTGGGCTCCTGAGACTGTAATTTACAGGAGTAGAAAGCCTTGATCTTCCTCCTGGGGAGCAGCTGGTAGTTTCGAACAGCTGGCCTTACAGTTAGCAGCCCAATTTGTAACTCACTATGCCACCAGGCCTCCCTGAAGCTGGAGGAAGGGGCCACAACTCAAGGAATGGAAACCATTAGGAAAGTAAAAGGATACAGAAAGCACGTTTCCCCTGAGAAACTCCTGAAGTAAACAGCCTCGCTGACACCTTTGACTTTAGTCCAATGAAATGAATTCAGATATCTGAGTTACAGACCTGTTGGATAATATCTCTGTGTTGCTTTAAGCCACTATGCTTCTGGTAATTCATTACAGCAGCCTTGGGGAATTAAGGCACATTGAATCCACTGGGATCAGGCACTGGGTGAGGCTCTCGATTGACAGAGAATGGTGTCTGCCCACCTGGATGCCCTACCAACCAGGAGCCCCACGGCATCCTTGGTGAGATGGCAAAGGCACAGCTCTCATGCTGGTTAAACTGGGGTTGAAATTAAAGAAATAGTGATCTATCACTGAGTAGCCCAGCGCCTATTTATTTAATATCTCTGAAAGGTATCTCTGAGGGGAGGGCTGTCATTTTACATACTTCATGAGGCTCTTGGTAGGGTTAATAATAACAAAAGTGCTGTGGAATTTATGGCATATTTACTACGGGGTGAGCACTTAATTTTATTTAATCCTTAAATTAATACCAAAAAGTATGGATTACTATGGACCCTATTTTACAAATAATTGTATTCCAGCGTGAGAAGGCCGAACAAATAAGAAACTAAGACTTAGAAATCTTGCCTTTCCATCTTACCTGAAACTGTTCGAGTCAGGTTGGAATTTATGCCAAGTCCACATACTGTTCCTAATTACAACACAGTAATTCTTTTCTGCCCTAACAGTCATTGTGCATGGATCTTTTGCCTTTAAGGGACCCAGGTATAGGCGGGCCTGGGCTGTAAATAGAGGAGCCTCAGTGGCAGAGTGGTTATGTTTTAGGCTGAAAACCACAAGGTCAGCAGTTTGAAGCCATCAGCAACTTCTCAGGAGAAAGACGATGCTTCTACTCCCTTAAAGAGTTACAGTCTCAGCTGATACCAAGGGCTTAAGTGCACAGCAAAGATGTTGAGAATGATGAGGGCAAGGAATGTACAAATGTGCTTGACACAATGGATGGATGGATGGATTGTGATAAGAGTAGTATAAGCCCCAATAAAATGATTTTTAAATAAATAAATTTATAATAATAATAAAAAGAGTTACAGTCTCTGAAACCCACAGGGGTAGTTCTACCCTGTCCTATAGGGTCACTATGAGTCAGAGTCCACTCGGTGGACATGAGCTTGTTTTTTTTTATAGTTTGGGGCAGCTAACAGAACTAACTCTATCAGAAGTGGGGAGGTTTACCCCTGTGGGATAAGGTAGAGAGAGACTAAACAGACTCTCTAGGGATTCCATGATTTCTGAGCCTGACACCCAGAATGCCCATAAGGGTAATACCCAGACACCCCCTACCCAGAGCTGGCAGAAAATAATGTCAGACCATCACTTCCCAGTGTGGCCAGTGCGACTTGTGGCTGGGTCCGCACTCCAAATTTCCCCCTCGCCTTTTCTCCTCCCTCCCTCTCTTTTCTTCCCTCCTCCCTGGCACCTCCCTAACCCCCTTCTGACCTCGGTACCAGGGTTTCATCTTCTTTATCAAATTTCGAGGCCCAGTCCCAGTGCCCAGGCAGTGCCCTCAAAGGGCCAGAGGCACTACAGCAGAGAAAAGACCATGACCCTTGGCTTCCCATCCGGATGGCTCCTCACCTGCTTGGGCCCACATGCTGCCTGTAGTGGATTTAACCTTCAGTGGCAACATGCCTTATGGCTATTTCTTAATCAGCGTCTGCAATGATGGTAAGCCTAGGCTATGCCAGAGAGATGCAGGAGACTGGATTGGAACATTTTGGGTTCCTAAGGGAGCTGTTTGGGGAAGCAACATTGCGTAAGAACGCCATCAAACCTGGGACAGCAGATTTCACAGCCTAAGCATGGGATGCTGTCTTAGGAGATTCATTGATGACCCTGATCCATCAACACATGGTCAAGGGGGTGGATTTTACTGAGCACAGTAATTATTTGTTAGCAGAAGGACAAGACAAACTGTTAGGTAGCTATGACTTGAAGCAGAACCTAAAGAAACGCCTGGCCACACTTCCGGTCTTTAAACGGCTCAATGGTGCAGTGAGGATCAACAAATTCTGTCAGCTGCTGATCACATGGTTCACCTTTGGGATCGTGCTGCAATGACAGATGTAACGTCTCAAATCTTAATGTGTCTGTTAACAAGATGGAGGGAGAGCTCCTGAGGGAGAGCTCTTGGTCATAACGTATGGATCATCCACGGCTTTGCTTTTCTTTTTTCAAATCCAGGTTATTTCTTGAGTCATTTCACAAAGCCCTACAATCCTTATAAGGAAAAATGAGCCAGGCTGGTTATTTGAGTGGGTCTAAAACTTAAGTTAAAATATTGAATCTGAGGAAGCCATCGAAGCAACGCTATCCTGAGGCCCCAATTTTCCTTTCAATACATTGACAGAACCCACTGTCACAGAGGTGATGCCAACGCATAGCAGCCCTAGAGGACAGGGTAGAACCGCCCCTGTGACTCTCCGAGACGGTCGGCCACTCTGTGTTTGTTTGATTGCTTTTCATCGTGCAGTGCAGTAAGTTTGAATGCATGAACTCCTTTGGAGCTCCTGTAACCATCAATTCTACATCTCTTCATCCTACGAAAGAACGTGTCGTGGCACGTGGTGAAGATTTTAAACATTCCAACTATGACTAGTCTAGAGGAGAAGCTTCCGAATCCTACAAAGGACACATTGGTGCTGTTCACTGGGTGAGATTTCGTCCTGATGGTGAGGCTCCCAAGATGGAACATTGCACTGCAACCACGATAAACTGTTGACCTTTGGAAAAGCAGGTGGCCCTTGGGAGCGTGTGCTTCCTGAAGAGGAGCGTGGTGAGCTGGGGAAGCCGAAGATCAGCTTTCCAGAGAGAGCAAAAGAGGGGCTAGAGGAAATAACTTCAGAGAATTCAGATTCCACCACCTATAGTTCAGCTTCTGAACAGAAAGCCTGATCATCAGGCTTACCTCATAGATGGTAAACAACCCACGGACTGCGACAAGCCAGCAGAGAAAGGCCTCCGCTCTGCCGGGCCGCTTTCTGCTGAAGGCAGACATGCACAGCAAATCCAGGGGAACCTGAATGAGCTCCAGCACTGGCGCGAACCTGGGGGTCCCTGTCAGTGAAACCTTGAGAGTATCAAAAGGCAGGTGGGGTCGCTCCTTCAGCACGAGTATGTGCAAGCCGACTCTCCCTCCCCAAGCTGCAATTGGATTTCTTGTAGCTGTTTATGTGATGATGGAGAAAAACGCATATCATGGCCCATTTTTCTGACTTTTCCCTTAAGGCGGGTAGCCCTTTCTTTTCCGTTGTAAAGAAGAGGGAATGCATTATTTCTTGTCATTTAGATTTCTCTTCTTTGTACCCCGTTTGATTTCCTTTCCTGGAACACTGCTTCTGAACGTAATCAGATTATTTTTAGTTGTCTAAAGAAAATGCCTCTGAAACCAACAACAACAAACAAAGAATTTCAAAGGACCAGCCTGCCTTGTTCCCCAGTGGTTCCCTTTGCTTCTTGGCTCCAGTCGCTCCAGAACCTTGACTCCTGGGCTGCACAGCGCAGAGCTAAGACGTACTCCGTAAAGGCCTGCAGCCCCGTGAGGTTGTATTTCCCTTCTGTGCGGGGCTCCTTGGTGAAGTTGACTTCCTTCTGAAAAGCATAGAAAACCCTGAGCTGAACCAGAGGCCGCGTATGTTCTCCTTCCCTTTCCCCTTCACTCTCCACCCCACTCTTACCTTTTAGGGAACAGCAGCACTGCACCTCAAACTTTGCAAGATACCATTTTCTTTTCTTTTTATAAATCATTTTATTGGGGGCTCTTACAGCTCTTATCACAATCCAACCATTGTGTCAAACACATTTGTACATATGTTGCCATCATCATTTTCAAAATATCTTCTTTCTACTTGCGCCCTTGGTATGAGCTCATTTCCCCCCTCCCCCACCCTCTCCCATGAACCCTTGATAATATATAATTTTTTTTTTCCTGTCTTACACTGGCCACTATCTCCCTTCACCCACTTTTCTGTTGTGCATCCCTCTGGGAGGTGGTTATATGTAGATCATTGTGATCAGTTCCCCTTCCCCGCCCCGCCCCCACCTTCCCTTCCCCTCCTGGTATTGCTACTCTCATTATTGGTCCTGAGGGGTTCATCTGTCTTGGATTCCCTGTGTTTCCAGCTCTTATCTGCACCCATGTACATGCTCTGGTCTAGCCAGATTTGTAATGTAGAACTGGGGTCATATTGATAATGGGGAAGGAGGAAGAATTAAAGAACTAAAGGAAAGTTCTATGTTTCATCGGTGCTACACTGGCTCATCCCTTCCTTGTGACCCTTGGGTGAGGGGATGTCCAATTGTCTACAGATGGGCTTTGGGTCTCTACTCTGCGCTTCCCCTCATTCACATCGATACGATTTTTTGTTCTGGGTCTCTGATGCACAAGGTACCATTTTCACAAATAAACCTCCAAGTGTCCCTGGGGACAATTTACACCTAAATAGATGTCACTTGTACCATTTCACTTCTCATTTCTTGTCTCTTAAGCATGGGCCGTAGGCTTCAGGCCTCTGGGTGAGGGGCTACATGAGCAGATCCTGGCTGCTGGCTGCTCCTGAAGATATGAAGTGGAGCCCTGTGACCTGAAGCAACCCTGGCCCGGATTTAAACTCTGGAGGTGAGGCCCACATCTAGAAATACAGCCTCATGGAGCAGTGGGTGACCCAGATCTTAATGGCATCAAGTTCAACCTTCATGTCACCAAAGGAATACAAAAGAAGCAAGTGTCCAGAGACAACCTCGGCTTTAGTTAACGACAGAACTAGCAATAGAGCACACATGTCCTCACTCCTAGACTCTGTACCTTTACCCAAGCATGCCCTCTCCGAGGTCTGGCCTTTGGGTGGTCATGGAAGCTGCTAAGTGACTTGGCAGCCTGGATGAGTATATTCACTTCGACACTCTCTCGAGGACAAACACAGCACATCTCTGCAGACCTGAGTTTCCTCATTAGTCAAATGAGGATATTGATCCGAGGGATCTCCAAAGTCCCTCCTGTATCCAGACTCCCAAGAAAAGCCCAAGCTTCAGCCAGTCCTGTCCAAGCATGGGCATAGTTGCTGCAGTATAAAGTTTGGGCCATTGGTTTATATAAACAAGCTGAATTAAGTAGTAAAATAAACTGCAGCCACAGGTCTATGAGTCTATTTCTCAGTATGAACAAGGCAGCATTTCCTGGAGCCCAGAAAGGGAAGGGCTGCTATTTTTATATGTAGGGGCCAACTGTGCGCTCAGGGCAGTACAGGACTACTGACCTCGCTTAAAGAGTTATGGCCTCAGAGACCCTGGGTCACGTGTGTCAGAATCAACTGGATGGCAGTGGGTGTGGTCTTTGATGGCAGTGGGTGTGGTCTTTGATGGCAGTGGGTGTGGTCTTTATATCTATCTATCTATCTATCTATAAATATATATATATAGAGAGAGAGAGATCCATAAATAAGTTCCTAATTATAGGCTTGGGGCTTCAAGGAAGTTGGGCCGACGAAGGAAGCGTGTCTCTGGAAGAAGCTGAGCATCCCAGCTGCAGAGGGACATGTCCGGTCTCTCAACCTAGTGAGAGGCCTCAGAGAAGGAGGTAGGATCCATAGGCGATGGCAGATGCACACTTAATCCTAGCACTTTCTCCAAATGGCCCCTGTATATACCGCCGCCACAGATGCGGGTTTAGGAGAGAGTGACTTGGGACAATCCGTGATTTCTAGGGCAGCATCCTCCTCAAGTTCCTTTGCTTAAAAGGGTCCAACCAGGATAGAATTAAGCCCTCTAGGAGAGGCTAACCCTAAGGTGACTTCTATAGGTGATTCAAAATAAAACAATCTGAATGCATGACGATGTGTCTGGAAGTTGAAAAAGGTTGATTTCACTTTGTATGCTTTCTTCTTTTTTAAATCATGTTCTTTGTAAAACGTTTCTAATGTTTCCTCCTGCTGTGCTGGCACTGTCAGCGCCTGCTCAGCCTCTCGGGGTGGGGGTGGAGGGTGTCACCTCACAGTCATTCCAGCGCAGAAAAGTCTGCCTAATGTCAACATGTAAGGCTATTCTTCTGAGTCCCAGACGAAACAAAAATCTGCTTGTTATTTTAAACAATGTGCCTCTAAAACCCAAACCACCTGTTACTATTGAGTCCGTTCCAACTTCGAGCCCCCCTCGCAGGACAGAGAGGAACTGCTACATGGGCTTTCCAAGGAAGCTGAAAGGCCCACCTCTCCCCCCATGAGCAGCTGGTGGGTTCAAACTGCTCCACTTTCGGTTAGAGGTCAAGTGCTTAACCAAGTGCTTCGCTAGCACTCCTTTAAGGCTTCTTTGTCTTGCCTTTTTGTCCAGGCATCTGCCTTTGGCAAAAGAGCCCTGGTGGCATAGTGGGTTACAGTGGCTAATCACACAGTCAGAAATTCAAGGCCACCAGTCACTGGGAGGAAAGACAAAGCTTTCTGCTCCCGTGCACATTCACAGCCTCGGAAAGTCCCCGGGGACAATTCTACTAGGTCCTATAGGATCACCATGAATCGAAATCCACTTGATGGCAGTAAGTTTTGTTCATGTATTTGTTTTTGGAGCAACTTCGGGCCCTCACGGAGCCCAGGAACAATTACTCCTTTATGTACAAACAGCCTTTGCCAATTCTACACAGGCTGGGAAGTCCTAACAAAAACATATCAGCTTCATCCTGTTTGTTTCTAACCATCTGTACTTTATGCGAAATCCTACCTCACCCAAAGCGTTTGAAGAAATGAGTCAGAAGTGGTGTAAAGCCAGCTCAGCCTCCTCAGTGTCCAGACCGCTTTGTAGGACAGTCACGTGGCTCGCTTACATGCAGCTTCTTTACAGTACGGCTGCGGGGAGCCAGCAGCACTTAGTTCTCTAAGTCACATCCCTGCTTTGCAACATTCTAAAGAGGGCTGGTGCCCCAGATTTGCCCAATTCAGTATGTCTTTGATCCTTTGATGGCTGCTTCCACGAGCATTGATTGTGAATCCAAGCAAGACAACATCCTTAACAACTTCAACCTTTTCTCTATGTATCATGATGGTCCAGCTGTGAGGATTTTGGTCTTCCTTACTTTGAGTTGTAATCCATACTGATGCCTGTAACCTTTGATATTCATCAGTATGTACTTCAAGTCCTCCCCACTTTCAGCAAGCAAGGTTGTATCATCTGCGTACTGGAGGTTGTGAATAAGCCTTCCTCCAATGCTGTGGCCTCGTCCTTCTCCATATAATCCAGCTTTTCTGATTATTTGCTCAGCATATGGGTTTAACGTGTATGTGCAAGGGTCCTCAAACTACGGCCCGTAGGTCACATGCGGTCCACTGAGGACATTTATCTGGCCCACTGGATGTTTTTGCCCCGTTTTGGTTTTTTTACTTCAAGATATGATATGTGCAGTGTGCATAGGAATTTGTTCATAGTTTTTTTTAAAACTATAATCTGGCCCTCCAATGGTCTGAGGGACAGTGAACTGACCCCTTGTTTAAAATGTTTGAGGACCCCTGATGTATGGTGAGAGGAGACAATCCTAACTCATACCCCTCCTAACTTGAAACCATGCAGTACGTCGTTGTTCTGCTTGCACAACTGCTTCTTGACCCATGTACAAGTTCCTCATGAGCACGATGAAGTGTTCTGGAATTCCCATTCTTCTCGAAGTTATCCATACAGTATTCCACACAGTTGAACGCCTTTGCATAGTCAATGAAATACAAGTAAACATCTTTCTTGTCTTCTTTACTTTGAGCCCACATCCATTTGACATCAGCAATGATATCCCTTGTTCCATGTCCTCTTCTGAATTCAGTCTGAAACTGGCAGTTTCTTGTCAATGTGTTGCTAATAACCATTGTTGTATGATCTTAAGTAAAATTTTATTTGAGTGTGATATCAATGATATCTTTCTATTTTTTGAGCATTCTATTAGGTCACCTTTCTTTGGAATGGGCATAAATATGGATCTCTTCTAATCAGTTGGCCAGGTAGCTCTCTTCCAAATTTCCTGGCATAGATGAGTGAGTGTTTCCAAAATGTCTTCAATTTTCTAAAACATTTCAAGGGGTAGTCTATCAGTTCCTGGAGCCTTGTTTTTCACTAATGCATAAACTTTTTACCATGAAAATAAGGACAAAAGTTAGCTGTAAGAGGAAGAGGGACTTACAATCAAGAAGGGATGTAGGCAGAAGGGATGAAAAATCCAGGGTGTGGTATAGCACTGATGAACCACATAACTATCCTCTAGTTCTTTACATCTCCTCCCCTTACTATTATAGTTTTTACTTGTTTTACCTCATTAATCATGTTAGATTTGCATGTGTTCATTTATATGTTTAAGATCATGCGGTACATGAATGCCAAGATAGATAACCCTTCAGAAAGAGTAACAGGAGTATTGGTTCCCTGGGGGTCCTGGAATAGAGAAGGGGAAGGGGGGAATAGGGAGCTGATAGCATTGATTACTATATAAACCCACTCAATGGGATCAAACAAAAGAATTGTATGAGAATGGCTAAATTGGATCATAAGATATGGGGAAAAAACAACCTATTATAGGAACAAAAGGGGGGGGTTCCTGGAGGGTAGGATGGGGGAGGGAGGGGATAAAGGGGAGCTGATATCAAGGAGTTCAAGGACAAAGAAAATATTTTAAAACTGATGTGGTAGCAATTGTACAATACTGCTTGATGTGATTGAACTAGGGAATGTTATGATATCTGTAAGAGCTCCCAATGAAATGATTAATTAAAAAAATTTTTTTCAACCAAAGTAATACAAAGGGAAAGGCAGTGTAGGGCACAGGGGCTTTGAGGAGCTGGCAACATTCTACATTTTATCTTGATGGTCGTTACATGCACAATAACTTATAAATTATTTTTAACCTTAATATTAGCATGATGTTGCTTCTCTAAATGTGTGTTCTATTTTAAATATTTCAAAAATTAAGAAGGAAATGATTGTGTCACGGAAGGTCTTCAGAGGGTCAATGTAGCCAGATACAAACAGTAAAACACAAAAATTAAAATTGCACTCATTAATATTTCTGTGCTGGAGAAGTGGATGAAAGGCAAGAATAACTGAGACAAGGGGTTGTAGGGAATGCAGGGATGGGGTGGATAATGGGGATGGCTAGGGGATCTCCAGAGTGGATGGTGAAGACGGCTGAGTGGGGGGAGCACTAGAATGGACTGTGACTGCATGACTCATCTTAGAGACGATTTAACTATGAGAGGGTGATGGTACAATTCCCCTTATTACGACTGAATGATTGAACTATTGAATTATACAATATGTAAATTGCTTGTTAAGAAAACTGTTGGGGAAAAAATACTTCTGTGCTCAGAATGTAAAATGTCTACAGACCCAAACCAACCCAACTCACTGCCAGCTTGTCCATTCCAGCTGAGTGACCCATTTGGGAAAAGCAAAGTCTCATGTTTTTGAATCTTGAATCACAGTGGCCAGCAGCTCATTACAGAGGCTACTACAACACCAAGGCTCCTTCAGGTTGTTGTGCCAGTTGAAGGATTTGAACCCACACCCCTAAGGGAGACAGTGGCCAGAACACAGCCCCTTAAACCGCTTGGCCATCTGAACATTTTCATTTGGCAGAATGCATACATATTAGAACAATTGGGGAACATGAGAAGAAACTTGTTCACTACAGTCTATCTGCTATTATCAATCTTCTATCAAAGAAGATGCCTCCTAGTCAATAAAAGATATCAACGAGTCTCTTCCTCGGGCATCTTACTGCAAATATTATAATGACAGAACTTACCCACTTGTCACCACTCACTGTCTTGTATCGAAGTGTGTATTTTAAAGTAGCTGAAATAGGTGCCAAAGGAGGCCTGTTCCATTTTACTTGAATCACTTTGGGGACACCCAAAACCGTTTGCACATAGGAAATCTCAGGTGGTTCGATTTTCACTGAAAATAAAAATCACATAGTTGTCATATTTTCCCCCAAAATGAGAATATCCTAATAAGATCCACCCAATATTGAAAGAAACAGCAGCTTACATATGAGTCAACAGTGCATCATTTGTGGTCTCCCACATGCGGGTGGTTTTCAGAAGGCAGGGCAGAAAAATAACTGCCCAGGGAAGACAAGACATGTTCCTGGGATTTTTCTGCAAACCAGCCTTTTACTAATTAAATCAGATTCTAAGCCAAGGAGAAGGACAAGATAGGAAACCCTAGGTTGTTGTTAGGTGCTATCAAGTTGGTTCCGACCCATAGCAACCCTATACACAACAGAAGGAAACCTTGCATTGTCCTGTGCCACCCTCACAAGCGTTCCTGAGACTGAGCCCACTGATGGAGCCCCTGTGTCACTCCATTTCATCAAGGGCCTTCTTCGCTTTAGTTGCCCCTGCACTTTACCAAACATGATGTCCTTCTCCAGGAACTGGTCTCTCCTGGCAGTATGTCCAAAGTGTGCAAAATGAAGTCTTGCCATCCATGTCTATAAGAAGCACTCTGGCTTTACTTCTTCCTAGACAGATCAGTCTGTAGTTTCACTATTCTTCTCCAGCACTGTGGGGGAAAGTCAGATCCTTGCTGCCAGACTGCTGTCTCATCCCACCACAGGGGTGGGCCTGCTCCCTGCTGCTGGAGACAATGGACTACTCTCTGAAGCTTGGGACCATTAGCTTGGTTCCTGTAGGAGGGGTTTGCACCCTACTGATAATGTTCCTATGGAGACCCAGAGACCACCCCCTAGACCACCCTCTCATTGCTGTGTAACCGATAGTACAACTCCTGCTGTGTAACCTATAGTACAACCCTCTCATTGCTGTGTAACCTATAGTACAACAACCTATAGTACAACTCCTATAGTCTCTACCTGTAATCAGTGGGCTGGCATGCCCCCAAAAGGTATATAGGTGTGAGTCAGCAATATAGCTCTCTCTCTGACTCTGAGCTCTTTGCTGCTCACTCCCTGGTCACTCCCCTCTCCCTTGTTCCCTTCCCTTCCTTCCCTTCCCCCTCTCTCCACGTGGACCACCAAGCTGGGCTGAGGTGAGCAATGGTATCATGTAACATGCCTGACTGTATTATTGTATTATCTCTCATGCTCTCGGTGACTTTAATATAATACTTATATATCTCAACCATACAATTGTGCATTACTGAACCCGAGTACTAGCAATAGGAGTAGCAGCGGGTGGGGGCCGGCCCCCCACCTCCCTCAGCGTCATTATTTTTTAATTTAATACTACACAGCACCACAATTCAAATGCATCATTTCTTCTGTGGTCTTCTTATTCAATGTCAACTTTCACATGCATATGATGCAATGGAGAATACCATGACTTGCATCAGGTACACCTTAGTTCTCAAAATAATCTTCTTGCTCTTCAATACTCTAAAGAGGTCTTGTGCAGCAGAATTACCGAATGCAATATGTCTTTTGAAGAACAGATTCGCCTAATGCAAAATGTCTTTTGAAGATTTGAAGCATTGAACACTCATGACAGAAACCTGACGAGCTGTGAGAGGACATCAAGACTGTCATTCATAAAGACAGCAAAAGGTCGTTAAAAAGACAGGCAAGAAAGAAAAAATCAAACTGGATGTCAGAAGAGAAGCCATAGGGCTCCACCAAAATACACTTAGGTGTGTGAACTTCAAGTGACCCATCTAGAATGTGAACAAAAAATCCACAGAAAGCCACATATCTGATCGGGAACGTGTATTCAATATACATGACGAGTTCTTAGAATTCACCAATTAAAAGACAAAGAACCCAATTTTTAAATGTGAAAAGGATTTGAATAAATATTTTTCCACACAAGACCTGCAAATGGCCAATAAGCACATGAAAAGATCCAAATCACAGAGCAATGAGGTATTACTCCACACCCATTAGTATAGTTAAATTAAAATAATGGCAATAACAAGTGTTGGCAAAGATGTTTTTTTAAAAAAAAGGAACCTATTTTGCTGGTGGGAAATATAAAATGATATGACAGCTTTGGGAAAGTTTGGTCATTTCTCAGAAAGTTAAATATAGAGTTGCCGTATGACCCAGTAATTTCACTCCCAGGTATCTACCCACAAAATAGAAAAGTCTGTGTCTACACTATAACTTGTCCACAAGTCAGAGACCAGTAAGATGTCTTCAGTTTCTAATTCGGCCATTAGGCCTTGTATTCCCTTCCCTCCCCTCCTTTCTTCTTCTGCTCGCTCCTTCCTTTTATACTAAGAATTTTTTTTGCTCACTGTCCATAAACATGTACACACACACACACATACACACACACGCATCATATCCTTCAGTTTGGTTTGAATCTACTTTTGTGATTATAAAAGTTAAAAGATTGAGGATATTAAATAATACTTACCTATGTTATCTAAAAGCCAGAATGTCTTATCAGATCTCATCATCCCATTTGCATTTTGAGCTTCCACTTCAATGGTGAAATTATCTGGAATAGTTGCTCTTGGATGGGGAAAAGAACACGAGGCCTGATTCTTACTTGTACAATTATCGCTTGCTTTTCCATAACAGCTTTGAAGGAAAAAGTGATCCAACGTAAGTTTTGTAGAAAAGTTTTGAAACATGACCATACTTCATATTTTAAGCATGCTGTCTGTTAGTTGGAGTTCAGGATCTTGGGCCCTTCTCTCCAAATTCCTTCCACATCTCCAAGGTGAGAGGAAGTTTCCTGTTTCTAGCCAATTTGAGATGTTATGAGCCATGGAACCTCCAGTAAGTCTATCAAAGCTGTACCAGCAAAGGCATTTCCTATCAGCAAGAAACCATCCACAGACCCCAGAGAATCCCAGAGTCTAGTCCAAGAATTTATGCTTGGACTAAAAAAAGCACAGGGAATTCATGGAATAAGTGTGACAAAGACATAAATACAATTTTAAATAATGATTTTTAATGTGTGTATGTTCATGGATATGGAAAGATGCCCATACTCTTTTACTGGTGAAAGAAGCAAGGACCGTATCACCTACTGAGCAGTCACTTTTCTATAAACTGAAGAAGATATCGATGTAACAATGATTAGGAGTGGCAAGGTGTTCATCAAAATGTCTTCATCAAAGCTGTTCGCTTTGGTAGTGGAATTGGGGCGATTTTAACATTTTCTATATCCTTCAGATTGAATTGGTTTTACCATGAGGATATATTTTTAGGAAATGCATTCAAACTATTTTCCTACATAAATGCTATTTAGCTGGAGCTTTACGAAAACAAGTGTGCACATTGGTAAGAATTGGATGGACAGGCGTGGAGGCCTAGCCCTCACTACACCGGGAGGGAAGACAAGATGCAGACAAAGGGTACGAACTGGAAAGGGGTCCGCCACACAGAGTGCCAGGGGTCTCTCCCTGGGCTTGCACAGAAATAATTTTGAAATTCGGAAAATAGCTCCTGAAATCCATTCCTTCCTTCATGTGCTCTCGAAATGAGGGGTCCATCTTGGGAGCCACTGCAAGATCGTTGTTAAAACTTGTTCTGTGTAAAGAGAGAATCGAGTTCCCATTCTGGGGGGTTGGGTTTGGTTTTGTCTTAATAGAAGATCTTTATGTGTACTCTATGGTGTTTTGCTTTGTTTTCCACTCTTCATAAACTGGTAACTGGTGTCGAGAGGAAAGTCTACCCTATGCTTCATAGCAGAAGAAACGAAAATGCAACCTATGTCTTTAACAGCATATCAATGAGGATCTGTGTCAAAACCACGGATTGGCCAACATCTTCTGTCAAGGGATAGGCAGAACACTTCAGACTTCACAATGCACACCGTTTCTGCCACCACTACACAAATACTGTTGTAGCACAAAACTGCTATGGATAATATATGCACGAATGAGGGGACTGTGTTCCCACAAAATGTGACTAAGAGACGATGAAATTTGAATTTCACACAGTTTTCACTTGCCATAAAATTTTCCCCTGCCCCCAGTATTTAATAATGTAATAGCTGTTCTTAACTTCACATACAAAAAACAAATGCTGCCCACATCTGCCCCCTTGGTTACAGCTGGCTGACTCCTGCATAGACTGAAGGTTTTGTTCTTAACAATGTCCCAATCAAGTGTGTTCTCACAGTTGATGATCCACAGGAAAATCCTCTACTTCCCCCTTGATGAAATATGCTAGGGGATAAACTCACAAAAATACAAGTCTTGAAAAATACTTTTTCCTATAGTTGTAGATCTCTTTCAAGTCTTAGATGAACACTATCTCTTCCATTCAGGCATCCCCAACACTTCTTCATCGTCCCTTAGCAAAAAGCAATTCTATAGGACAGAATACAAGGAACAGTAGTTGGAAAACATGCTCTTGGTGATCAAAATGAAACTGAAGATCATGACAAAATTTTGCAAAACCAATGACTTCTTCATAACAAATAGCTGTTTTTCACAGCACAAATGGTGACTATACAGGTGGACTATACACCTTGGTGGCCACCAACTGTGTGTCAGTTTGTCTTACTGTGGTGGTTTGTATGTCACAAGTTATGTCGCTGGTCTTTCATATATAAGGAAAGTCACCCACAGTGAACAGGTTTCAGCAGAACTTCTAAACTAAGAACAGACTAAGAAATTAGCCCCTGAAAACCTTATGGATAGGATGCAAACATTGTCAGATACTGAAAATCTAATGAACAGAAGCAGAACATTGCCAGAGACCGGGCCAGATGATGAGCTCCTTGGGTCAAAGGACACTCAAAATATGACTGAGGAAGAGTTGCCTTTTCAACATACAGTCGACCACTTCAACATGGATGAAGAGAAGCCTCCAGCAGTAAAGCACTCAGGTCCATCCGCCGCTGATGGATCATGATTAAAATGAGAAGAAGCAACTACACACATCAGCTCATGATCAGAACTTTGAATGCATAAAGTATGAATCTGGGAAAATTAGAAGTTTTCAAAATTAAGGTGGGATGTATGACGATTGATATTCTAGATGTTGGGAAGCTGCAATGGATTGGCATTGGCCATTTTGATTGAGAAAATTAAAAGCATGGAATGACAGATTAGAGCAGTGTCACATTCATAGTCAAAAATAACATTCAAGGCCTGTCTTGAAGTTTAATACTGTCTGTGATTAGATAATACCTATCTGGATATGAGGAAATCCAACAACACCACTTTTTTTTTTCAAATTTACACACCAACTGCTAAAGCTAGTGACGCAGAAATTTAAAAATTCTTCCAATGTCTGTAGTCAGTCTGAAATTGATCAAAAGTGCAATCAAGATGCATTGATAATCATAGGTGATTGGAACGCAAAGGTTGGAAACATAAGGAAGGAAAAGTAGTTGGAAGGTGTGGATGGTGATAAAAATTAAGCTGAAGATGGCATGCTATAACTTTGCAAGACCAATAAGTTAATCATCGCAAATACCTTTTTCAACAACACAAAAGGCAACTACACACATGGACTCTCCAGAATCCAATTGACTGCACCTATGGGAAGAGACGATGGAGAAGCATAATCTCAACAGCCAAAGCCAGGCCAAGGGCTGGCGGCGGAGCAGACCATCCATTTCTCCTGTGTAAGTTCAGGTTGGGGCTGAAGAACATCAAAACAAGTCCACAGGAGCCAAAATACATCCTTGAGTGTATCTCACCTGAATTTAGAGAACATCTCAAGAAGAGATTTGAAGCAATAAATACTCATTACAGAAGGCCTGAGGAGCTTAGGGAGGACATCAAGAACATCAGACATGAAGAAAGAAAATGGCCATTAAAATGGCAGGTAAGAAAGAAATGATCAAAGTGGATGACAGAAGAGCCTGTGCAATCTGCTCTTAATGACAGGGTAGCTAAGGCAAATGGAAGAAATGATGAAGTCGAAGAACTAAACGGAACATGTCAAAGGGCAGCCTGGGAAGACAAAGTCAAATATTATAATGAAATGTGCAAAGACCTAGAATTAGCAGATCAAAAGGAAGAACCCACTCAGCATATCTCAAACTGAAGTACTAAAGAAATAATTCAAGCTTTGAGTTGCAATATTAAAAGCAAAATATTGATTGATGCAGGAAACATTAAAAGAAGATGAAAAGAATACATAGTCACTGTACCAAAAAGAAGCCCACATTCAACCATTTCAAGAGGTAGCATAAGAGCAAGAGCCAGGGGTACTGAAGCAAGAAGTTCAAGCCAAAATCAAGGCTACAGGAATTGATGGAGTACCAATTGAAATGTTTCAACAAGCTGATGAAGCACTGGAAGCGCTTACTGGTCTATGCCAAGAAGTTTGAAAGACAGCTGACAGGAAGAGATCCATATTTATATCTATTCCAAACAAAATGACTGAATAGAATGCACAAAATAGTAGAATAACATCACTGATGTTGCATGGAAGTAAACTTTTGCTGAAGATCGTCTAACAAAGATGAAGTTGTAAATTGGCAGGGACCTGCCAGAGGTTTGGTCAGATTCAGAAGAGGACACAGAACAAGGGGCATCATTGCTGATGTCAGGTGGAACTTGGCTGAAAGCAGAGACTATCAGAAAGATGTTTACTTGTGTTTTATTGACTATAACAACTATAGATAACCTTGAGAAAAAATAGGAATTCCAGAGTACTTCAAAATGCTCATGTTGAGCTCGTTCATGGGTCAAGAGGCAGTTGTGCAAACAAAACAAGAGAATAGTGCATGGTTCAAAATCATGAAAGGTGTGCATTGTTGTTATTCATCATAATTATTCAACTGTATGCCGAGCAAGTAAATAAAGAAGCTGGATGATATGAAGAAGAACGCAGCATCAGGATGGGAGGAAGGCTTATTACCAACCTGAGAGATCGCAGGCCGACACAACCTGGCTGCTGAAAGTGAGGAGGACTAGAAGCACTTGCTGATGAAGGTCAAGGATCACAGCCTTTGGTGTGGATTATGACTCAATGCAAAGAAAATAAAACCCTCACAACTGGACCAGTAAGTAACATCACGGTAAGAGGAGAAAAGATTGTTAAGGATTTTGTTAAGGATTTTGTCTTGCTTTGATTCACAATCAAGCTCATGGAAGTAGTGGTCGTGAGACGATTGGGTAAATATGCTGCATAGGGCCTCCTTAAAGTGTTGAAAAGCAAGGCACACCTGACCCAAGCCATAGTATTTTCAATAGCCTCGTATGCATGTGAAAGCTAAATAAAGAAAACCGAAGAAGAAGAATCTATGCATTTGAATTATGGTGCTAGAGAAGAATATTGAAAGTACAGTGCATGAAGAGAAGTACAGTCAGAGTGCTCCTTTAAGGCAAGTTTGGTGGGACTTTGTCATACATACTTTGGACCTTTTATCAGGAGAGACCAGTCCCTGGAGAAGGACATCATGCTTGGTGAAGTGGAGGGGCCGTGAACAAGAGGAAGGCCCTCAAGGAGATGGATGGACACAGCATGTGCAACAATGGGCTCACACATGAGAACAGCAGCAACTCTTGGTGGGAGTAGAAAGTCTCTTCTTTCTCCCTGGAGCATCCAGTGGTTGGTTTTAAACTGCTGTCCTTTCCATGAGCAGGCCAACACACAGCCACCACGCCACTAGCATTCTCGCTTCTTCCCTAAGGCAATGAAAGTGCTTGTTTAGAACACCAACCCACCTTAATATGTTCTCAAGGTTAGCGATGCACAGAGAAATCCTATCATTCTCCCTGGAACAGGTATTTTAGGTGATATATTCACAAAGCTCCCAGCCAGTCCAGGAATACTGGAAGTCTAGGCAGTCCTGGGGCCACCGAAGGGAGCTGGGTGGGCCTGGGGCGTTCCACAAGACTAGCTAGCAATAATAACGACCGATCACAGGAAGAGATGGAGGAGAAAACAAAAAGGTGGGAGTGAACCAATTAATTTTTCAGGAGTTTTGTTCTGTTGCCAATTAATTTTTCAGAAGTTTTGTTCTGTTGTTCAACATAGGACCGAGGACTAACAAGTCGTACAATGTCTCCCAAGACGGACCCCTCACTCCTAAGGGACATGTCAGCGATATTCAGAAGTTCCAAAATATCCTTGCACAAACTCACTAGGAAATGGGATTTAGGCCAGCCTGAAATTAAAACGGGATCCTTGAGGTAGTGAAATGTGGAAATCATTGACAAGGGCTGCATAGCAGAGTAAGGTTATTTTGCTTCTTGATGCTGGGTTTATCCTACTTATGTGTCGGGATCGGTAAAGAATGAATTGTGCTGGAGCACATTCTAGAAAGAAGAGGACTACAGTTGAATAAAACAAATAAACAGATTCTTTCTGCTGTGCTTATAACTGATCACAGCCCATCAGGTACCCCTAAAAGCAGGACCATCATGTGAGTACATCTTCCCTCCCTCTGTGACCACAGATGCTGTCAGGATGGTGACAAATAACTAAGGAACCACCCCAGCCACCAGGGGCAGCATATAAGCCACCTAGAATATGGCAACGAAAAGGCTTTACTTCCTAAGTGACTTGATTCCTGAAAGAACCAGAACCCTCTGCCTCTTCTCCTTACCCCAGCTGATAACACACAAGCTCCCCATACTTACTAAGTTCTGTTAACGAAATACCATGTGTCACTGGTTTCCTTTTCGGGACTCCAAGCGCAGGTTAAATTGTGCTTATAGTAGAAGATGCAAGAAATGTTCTCAGGCTTATGTGGCAAAGCTACAAAAAAAAGTTACACAAACACAAATTATAGTACATGATACACATGGTCACCATGAAATACTTTTTATAAAAGTAAGTGAACTGAATGCTAGATTTGTTGCTTCCATGTAAGCTACAGTTTGTGGCTGTTGCTTGGTGCCATTGACACCAAGGAACAATCGTACTGGACAGCGTAGAATTGTTCTACAGGTTCCTCGGGCTATAACCCTATTATCTTTACAGGAGCAGATTTCCAGATTTTTTCTCTCTCCTGGAGCCTGTGATAGGTTTTTTTGTGCCAACATGGTGGGCGGAGTTTAGTCTGCCACTCAACTCGTAGCAATTGGAGGGCAAATGAGATAACTGACTCGCTGGAGGAGGGCCGCTCTCTCTCTGTGCATTCACCTTCTGTGACAAGTCTCACAGAGACTGTGCCAGCCCTGGAGATGCTTCTGCCTTCACTGGATCCACAAGACTTTATACCACTTGTCTGTGATCTTCCTGTATTTTGCATCACTGCATGTGCTATATGAGTCTGAAGAGGGATTTATAGACTAGTGTCAGATTTATGGGTGAAATAGTTAAGGTTTATTGTGCCAACCTGGCCAATAAACACATGTGGCGTTAATTGAAGGGTGGAGAGATAAATGGCTCAGTGAGCCTCACCTTTCTAGTTCTTGGGTCTCTTGCTTTCTGATAGTCAGACCAGGGTGCAGCTGCCTTAGCCAGTTCCCTGCTTCAGCTGGTGAGGCTCACTTCCTGCAAGACATCCCCCAAGGAGAAGCCACATGGACCTACCCCGATGCAGCCCTGGGTGTTGGCGCAGCTGTGTGGAAACCCCTGCCAGCGCTGACATGCTTACACGCTCACTGATTCGGCTTTCCTCCTGCAGCCCGCATCATTGTGTGTGTTTTGTGAGATGGAGGACTTCTTTGTGGATTGGTGTCGACGAATGGGCTAATGTTGGACTTAGGGGCTTGGACAGCGCTAGGTTGGGATGCTTTCTTTTATATAAAACTCATATATATATGATTCTATGGATTTGTTTATATATATATATATATGATTCTGTGGATTTGTTTACCCAGACTAGCACAATGGGCTAATATCAGACTTGTGGACTTGATCTGGGCTGGGCTGGGCTGTTTTCTTAATATGCAATTACTCTTTGATGTAAAGGTCTTTCTTATACATATGAGTGTCTCTGGTTTATCCCTAGTCAACCCGGTTTAACAAGAGCCATGATGGTTTTGAACCACCGACCTTTTAGTTCACAGCTGAGTTCTTTTCCTTATTCAGGTCTATGGAAGGAATCTAACCTTATTTCTTCTTTATTCCCTTTGACAATTGGTTCCTACTTAAAAATAAAGTTTCTACATTTTGACTCAAAAGCAATATTTGAGAAGCCAAAATTAAATTAAATCACCAGGCAAATATAAAGTGTTAGTGAAATATGAAGTAAAGCATCAAATGTTAGGACCACTCTGGATAAATGGGTATTGAATGATATGGGTAGCACAGAGAAATACAAAATGCTGAACTATGTCACACTAAGGAATCATTTATTTTTCCCTAGAGCTGTATAATAGAAGAGATTTCTGAAATATCTTTAGCTACATCTTCCTACTTTGTAAATTTTATTCCTTCTGGTTCTCCACTCAATAGCATCCATCTTGCACTTACTGGTCTATGCCAAGAAATTTGAACGATATCTGCTGTCAGAGGTCAAAGTGTCAGGCTACAGAAATTGATGGAATACCAATTGAAATGTTTCAACAAGCTGATGAAGCACTGGTATTAGAATAGAATGTGACTCTAAATGTTAGTGCCTTTACAGTACTGCCTGGCATCTGGCAGAAGGAGTGATATTCTCACAAAGGCCATTTGACACAGATATTACAGAAGTTTGTAGAATGTTCAAAACAAGTACCCATCATTATTTCCAATCCTCATCAATATCTCCTTTTCCTGGACATACATGGAGATTTTATTTCCTTTTGAAAACAGGCATGTTAGTCTGAGTAGACTAGAGAAACAAATCCATAGACACTCATATGTGTATAAGAAAGAGCTTTATATAAAAGAGCAATAATATATTAAGAAAACATCCCAGCCCAGTCCAGATCAACTCCATAAGTCTGATATTAGCCCATATGCTCAATACTAGTGCATAAATTCCTCTTTAGACTCACACAGCTATGCAATGATGCTGAGTGCAGGAAAGTCACAGGCCAGTGGGTGGAAAGTCTTGTAGATCCAGTGGCGGGGTGGAAGCATCTCAGTGCTCGTGTGGGTCTCCACATGGCTCATCTGGCTCCACCAGTGTGTCTCCATGTGGCTTGTCAACAATGTCTTGCAAAGAGAGTGTCCCGCTTCAAGAGAGGAAGACAGGAGTTCCCAGAATCCTTAGAAGAAGGTCATGCCCACACAGAGGCCTCATTGACTATGACCTGACTGACAGGCTAGACTCCACCCCTTCACTCAAGTTGACAGTAGATTATGTAACTACCACAGCAGGCCTGGCTGGGAGATTTGCTACGGCCATTGGCATGGGAGAGGAAGAAGGTGAATGCCACTGCACAGCCAGAAAACACACAGTGGGATGATGGTGTCTTAGGATGGTGGTACCTCCATCAGCTTGGATCTCAAGGTGATCATGATGAATGAAGAAAGATAAGAAAGAGTAATGTGAAGGGACCCACAATGCACATATTGAGACATTAATGTGGGAGAAACAGGAGCTGGGCTGAGCATGAGTGACTAGCTAGGGGGAGATGCTGGCCTACCTACCTCTATTGTCTATAAAATACTTGAGTGCCACAACTGTAACCCCAGGGGCCTACGTGACAAACCTGCCACGACTGGCCCTTGGTTCACCCTCTTGTAGAAATCTGCAGCTGTGAATTGAAGAATGTATTAATATTCTGCTTGCTGACCTCAAGGAGGATATCAAACTGGACACCCCAGATGGAAATAGTAGATTTATAAATTCCCTTAATTCAAGTGTGTCTGTGTGTGTGTGTATAGGTTTATGTCTGTGCATAGTTAGCAAGTTGGTTTATCATATTTTCCAAAGGTTGAAGAGTAACAGTAAATGCCTCATATAAAACACATACATAAATACAAAAATATATAATTTTATACTATTTGTTCATAAATTCAATGATATAAAGGAGAATGAGGAAACAGCACATTTCTATAAGATTCAACTGAAGACTATGGACCTACTGTGTATATCATATCTTGCAGATCTAAGATCCATTATGTGTTCGTCCGCGTTGACTAGAGAAACAAATTCATAGATAGTCATATGTATATAAGAAAGAGCTTTATATC